TCTTCTTCTTTTGAAATTTTTTTAAAAGAAAAAGACATGGACCAATAGGGAGAGGCAGCTGTCCTTGTGGGGAAGCTCATTGTAGAGCATGATGCCTTTGCCAAGTTTTATGTATTTGCCTACAGCTACAAAAAATATATACATATTCAAAGAATACATTAAAACCAGCTGTGAATTCTTATCGACTACTGCCAGAAGGAAAATAAATCATTAAGGGACTCATATAACTTAATTGGGAATCCAAACTCAACAGGAGATAATATGAATTTATATTTCAGGACTATATATGTTTGAGTGGTATGTTGAGTGAAAAGAAAAAAAAAATTTGAAATGTGCATGTAAAGGATATAAGAGAGTAGAGGTGTCGGGGAAGGCTAGTGTTCAGAAAAGAAGATGAAGGAAAGCAAATTTCTAATATCTAGTCTTGGATTATTTACACATAAATATAGTAACCATATATGTCTAGGAGTTTATTTTTAAGTGGATTTAATACGTCAGAATATTGAATGCTTTGCATGGGTTTTGAGAAAGGATTTACTTAAGGCTTTCAAAGCCATTTGAGAATTTCCTCTGAACACATTAAAGGGTATCTGTGAATGCTGACTTACAAGAATTTACATGTTCCCTTTCTTAGGTAGAACTATCTAAACCGTGAATAGATTAATCCCTATGGTTACGTACATCAACGGCAAGACTTCCCATGTGGAAGAAGCTATATTCATTTTTTCCCTTCTGAAAATAACCTTATTAGGATATAACACATACCTTCTTATTGCCAGGTGACTCATATGAAAGCACAAGAGACTTTAAATCAGTTAGGTAATCCCATAGTTCACTTACTATTTTCATGAATTCAAATACTTTGAAACCTAGTCTTGGTTCCATACTATTTAAATATTTACCTTAATTATACCTAACTAAACTTGTCCGTAATTATTCTTGTGACTGAAATCTTGTTAGGCCCCAGAAGCCTCTGGATATCTAGCCATATTATCAATAATTCACAAATTCCTAATTTTATCTGCACCTTAGAACATGGGACCTCCAGCATCCTACAGCGTCCCAAGTGTCTCTTGGGATCTCTAAAGGGATGGTTCACAAGCCAGTCCCTTTCTTAGGACCAACACACACCATTCTTTCTCTAGTACTCTGACCTCTCTCTAGTCCTCTGCCCTTAGAATCACTGGAATTGACCTTACTCTTGCCATTTCTTACTACTTCATCCTGAAAATGATATCACAAAGACACTATCTCCTGACCCTCTAAAAGTGTTCAACTCTTGGGGTGCCAGCGTCCTGTTGTGTCCTGTGCAGAGCTGGGCCTTAGACTTTACCCTCTGCTGTCTTGCCACCTAGACCCTAAGACAGCACAATTCCTGTCCAGAGTTTTACTAATTTGATCGTGAAAATATCTCCTCTGTCTTCAGCTCCCTAGAAGCTCCCGACCAGTTTAAATGTCCAGTAAAGCACAGGTACCATGCCCCCCTCTGAGTCTTTATGTCCTCATCATCGTAGCTTAGGTCCCACAAAACAAAACAAAACAACCTCCTATTTCCTTCTTCAGCAATATTCAAATTCTTTTGCATATTATTTCAAGCATATAAATGCTGGTGAGCCGGTAGGAGGAAGTGGAGAAAGGAGGGGTATTTAGACTAAGCATCCCATCCTGGTTCTACCAACTAATAAAAGGAGAGCAGAAATTGTCAGGAACTCATTGAGGTAGTATTTAGAAATCTCTTACCAAAATATCAGCAATAAATAGTAGGAAATAAATTATTACAAACCAAGGTTTAATTTGATGTTATAACAACTTAAGTGAGAATTATAGGGTAATTTAAACAGTAATAGCTACCTATTTATTGAGTGTTTCTGTGTGCTAAGCACTGCTGTAGGCACTAGAAGCATGCTATCATACTCAATTCTAAGAGCAATGAGTCCCTTCTCTTTTTCTGTGTACAGAAACTAAAGCTTGAACTCATCTCACTAACGGAGAGCAAAAGTGGATCCCAACCTGAGACGCTCTGACTTCCAAACATATACTCTTAACCAGAACTACCTCCAGACTCTGATGTATTTCAAATAGTCACTGGCTATCTAGATATTGATCAGTAGTATTCTGAAGTTTATATGAAGCACATGCCCCCCATGGAGCAAAACCATCACTGAGAGAACAATGTCGTTGGAGCGTTTGCTTACTATGTGCCCACCACCAAGCTAGATCCTAGAGGGAGGATATTAAAATAAATAATACCCTCTTTTCTTTTACATTCAATTTGGTTTCCTTACTTATATTAAGACCATTAAAGTATACTTCAGAAAAGATGGGCTATTTTAAATAATCCTGTGAAACTTCTCCCTTGGAATTGCTCACTTTATGAGCAATCACTTAAGACTTGAGATCTTTCTGATTACAGAATTTTTTTTTCAGAATTAGCAAAACAGTATGCAACATGATTTTTGGAAGATTATTTAGTGAGGTATCTGTTGGTAAGCCATGAACGTGCGACCAGTTGAAAATTTAGGAGAATTGATCTTAGAAGACACTTTTAACTCAGTATTTTATTTTGAAATTAATTACACATACAGCAAGTACCTATATTTTTGCATACAATTCTAGTGGAAACACAGACCATTTGAAATGATTCAAAACTTCAGGAGCCAAGGCTTAACTCAATGCCATTTATAGCAACTACAGTTAGAAGGACCTAAGGGTTTCATTAATAATAGTAATAATAGCTTTTATCTGATGAGAACCAACTTTATGCATTTTGAGCTTATTATTTTGTTTAAATATCATTTGTTCATAATATAAACAACATCAATTTGACACAAAAGCTTTACTCTATAGATGAGAACATGGAGGACCAGAGAAGTGAAATATCTTGACCACATTCATGCGAGTGGACAGTGGCAAAGGGGAGCTAGAAACACATGCCCTAACTCAGATCCCTGTCCGTTACCCTGTGCATCTCTGGGAACTCACCCTAGATACACACATCCTGTGAAATGAGGTAACGGCATCCTCAAAATAAAGTCCAAACACCCAATTACATCCACAAATGGTCAGGCTTTTTATTACTGAAATTTCAATTGAAAATTAGCATTTTTAGAAAATATATATTTACGTATGGGTTCAGGTAGATTGAAAAATCAATGACACAAAAGAGTTACGTTTAACGACCAGAGTCTGTGCTTTGTCTTTAATTTCGTCTGCTTCACCAATGCTTGCAGTTGGCTTGATGCCCCTGCTAACAGGTTGAGCTTCATCTTGTATAATAGAAAACATTTTTTCTCAATCCTTTTTCAATATAAAAACTTATTGCCTGGTCAGTTTCTTAAGGCCTTGGTACTAAATAAGTCCAAGTTGCTTACATAAAGAGAAAAAAATACAATAAAGTGGCAATTGAGAGACCTGGATAGACAGAGTGGCCACAAAGTCTCTAAGCACATGTGTGTGCTGTTAATTGAGTAGCATAATCATGTCAGAATATGGAAAGCAATTTCAGAAAATTATTTGATAGGGCCAATTTTTTTTTCAGTAGAAATATCAATCACAAGATTGAATAGGGGTTGCACCAGAACTGCATAAGAGATCTTGCAGCAACAATTATCCTGAAATGTAAGATACATCAGCATATTGTGTGCTCCCAATTAGAAAATACCTTGACAAATTCAATGGACAATTGGATTGGAGATGAATCCAAAATGAGGTGGTTTATTGAAGTCCATATTTAGAGTATGTGACTAATTGCTTGGGGCACCATGACAGGGAAGATTTATCAAATCTGTCTAACAATTGTCAGGATCTTAGAGTAAATATCAGAAAATGCTTTGCTAAGTTCCAAGTTCACCAGATACGAAAATGTCCAGAAGAACATGGGAAAAATTAAATTTATGTGAAGAATGGAGTGTTGCTTATAGATAACTTCTAAGAGGCATAATTAGATAGTTTGTGGTCATTTTATAGAACAGTCAATACAAGTATATTGAAGAGAAATACATACTAATTCTGGTTGTCATACCAGGATACTATTTTGTTTCATTTAACCAGTCTATTTATTTGCCTGCTTCCCATTTTTCATTTCAGAAATGCAGGGTTTGTATCAAAAAAGCTGTTAGGATCCTTCTAGTCCTTTAAAGCTAAAAGACAAATTTGACCTTCAAAGACATCAATCTAGACAATAATAATAGAATATTATAGAGGCATTGTTCTGGCTACAAAGATATAGAGCTTTCCAAACCAGCCACTACAAAATGTGAACAAAAAAATATAGTCTTAGTCTTTTAAATTTAATATATCTATGTGAACAAACACATTTCTTTCTCTTCATTGTCATTGCATGAATTTTTTCTCAGAATGCATTTAAAGTTCAGCTAATGTGCTTCAAGGTTACATTATGTACCTATGTATGTTTGTTTGTATTCCTACATAATTTTCCACCAAATAGTTTATCAAATGTCATGTAGAATCTGAGATGTCATAAAAACATTCAATATCATTGTTCCCTATAAAGAAAACACAAAACTTATCCTAATAGGATTTGTTGAGGAATATTCGTATCATCTGGCTGAAGGCTAAATTCTGAGGTCTGCTATGATTCAGAAAATTTACTCTAATGATGGGAAAATTCATTCTAAATTATTTTGTGATTTTATGCGTATGTGTATATTAGTGTTGCCAGTGATAAAGCAACCAGTGTGTCATGTCACTGCTCTCTGGATCCTTTCACGAATGTACAAAGGCTTTGGAAAAAATTAAGAGTAAATAGGGAACAATAAACTTTTTAAGGAAATAAGTAACTAAGATTAGCACAGTCTCTATAAAATGGAATCCCAAATGATTTGAAGTTAGAGTTTGTTACTAATTATATAGTAAATATGAAAAACAAGTTTATATATGAGATAATAAAAAATAATAAATTCAACATGGTCATAATTTTTCTTTATAGATCAGGACTCTCCTGCTTAAAGCCTAATTAACAATAGCCAAATTTGACTTACAAAATGTGGATGTGCCCAATGAGGTAATTCTTTACAATGGGAATTGATAGCTGTTTGTTTCTCAAATTTCTCTCACTTAAGGTGATCTTTGGAATCATGGAGACAAAACATTTGACTGAAGTGTCGAATTTTCAATATGGAGGTTTTGGTGTCATGTAAAACAGCCTAAAACAATAAGAGTGGGTCAAAGGCTTGCTTGAGTTAATTAATTGTCACCAAGTCTATTCACCAGGATTATTGAATCATAGCTTTAGTTTCCTTTAAATCCAGGGTCTGTTTCTCATCAGGAGGCAAGCTTTAGATTCAGCATGTTAAAAGCTACAAGTATTGGTGTTGGGTTTTCCTTTGTCTTACATCTGCATCAGTCTGAGAAAGCAAAGAACTTTTAGCCACAGCAGGAACTTCCTGTAAAATATAGTAAATGACTGTGCTTTCCTCATATGCCACACCCTTTCTTTCTTCCTAGGTCCTAGATACTTCTCTACTACTCTGGGTAGAAATATGCTCACTTTCACAGGAATCAATAAATGTAAGTGTGTTATCATTTGTTTTTAATAACTAGTAGACCTATAAATAATACATCATTAAATGTATTAGCAGGATGTTATACAATAATGGAACAAGCCACAAGGTGGAAAGGCTTTCCCATCTGGCATATTGTGACTGATGGAGTAACATAGACAGAAAATTAGATAATCTCAGAAAGGTATAAATATGGACACTTTAGGAAGAACTAGCATATTTATAATTCTAATAGGTACAAATGAATTGTGGCATAGCCGGACTGATAATACACTTTGTCAAATTCATGCTAGGGTGTCCATGTTTTGGGAACAAGGAAGATTTTGTCAAAATTGATACGGTTCATAAAAAGATAATTAATTTGCTTTGAAAGAAGGCTCAAATAAGGCCTGGAAGAGGATGGAAGACAAATGAAACAATAGCAAAATATCTAAGAGAAACAAATTTTGTGTGTGTATAGGGAGGTGTTTTTTTTTTTTTCAATGTGGGGTTTTCCTACATAGGGGAAATCCACACCCCATTGTCTATCAGAATTCATCAGGAGTCTAGTGGACTCTGAGAATTGGTCTGAGGGGTCTGATTCTTAATCATAAGTATGAGTCTATCCCACTGAATAAGCTTTTCAAGTATGATAAAAACTCGAGATAAGTGCTGTCTGTTCACTGATTGCTTATTTTATGGGTCAATGCGTCTTGGAAAAAGACTGTGGAATTTTCCCACATCTAATGACAACCTCTTATGGTTTTGCCAATGTATAATGTTTTTCATTATCAAAAATAGAACTTCATTATCAAAAATATGTGAGCTATTTGCTAATAATCATAAGTTACAAATATAAATTATTACACATAGAATTATAAGATTTAGTTGCAAAGGATTTTCTTAACCTTCTTATAATTTATTATCCTCAATAGCAAAAGAGAAGCCCTTTTGTTATCTTCCAACCTATTGCTTGCAAAGCCGTATATTCATTTGCTTACTGATAGTACCAACAGCTCATTTCCCTGTGATACATGCAGTATCTAGTCACGTGACCCCAGATTCAATTTATCCTCTTCTAATTAAGTCAAGTTAAGAACCTCAAGTTAATTGTTCTGGTTACAAATGCACTGTACAACGAAAGGTATGCTGTAACTCATTATATGGTATAAGAAAACATTATATGCATATCTATTAATGAACTTATTTTAAGTGCATTCCTCATGGGGGAGGGAGTGCAAAGACGAATTGAACACGCCAATCTAGTGCAGTGTTCTTCTAACTTTTCCGTTGACACCATCTCTCAAATAATTTTGAAAAAACATCCATTTAAGTTGACAGGTCATTTGCAAAACATACGGCTGATTTTAAATGTTGACATTTTCAACTGTAACTGTTACATCATTTTTTTAAATGTTCTCAATGAAATACACGTGCAACAACAAGTTAATGCCTATCACAGTCATTTATAAATAAATGAATGCACTTTTCTTGACAGTGGGAAAGTTTGCTTCATTTCTTGGTTTCTTTGACATCATATTCTACTCCAGGATCCACCTTCCCCCCATACAATTTTATTCTACTGAAATATATCTTTATTTTTCAAATTCTTTTAATCGATCACCTGAAAGCCAGCAAAAAGCATAATAAAGAAAAAGAAGGGAGTAAACACAGAGTGGAGCCAGAAAGGGGGAGGGAGGGAGCTAGACCACTGAGATAGTAGGTGACATTTTAAAAATCAAAATGTCGTGATGTCTTCCTTTTCCTTTGAAGAGTTTGCATGACTTCTATGCAAATCTCTTCTAATCTTTTCATAGGAAATTTTAAGTGACATCTTCCTGCTCAAAATCTTCTATACAAGAAAATATGTATCTAGGTCGAAATTTTTTTTGAAAGAATTTCCTATTCAAGTGGTTGTCAATGAATGTTTTAAAAATTCCTTGATTGTACTACTATTACAATTTTTATTAGAAATAATAATAATGATGATGATGCTGATAATAATAGTAGCTAACGTTTTGGAAGGCTTACTAAATTCCAAGCCCTGATCTAAGCACTACATATTTCTACCACTACTTGTCTCTATCAATTCATATACAGAGTGGTCCCCAAGTCTGGAAACATGATTGACATAGTATAGACGATTTGCTCACTTATATTATAATACGTGAAAAAGTCATATTTAAGTTTTCAGACTTTATGATCACATTATTAAAAACATATAGGTAGGTACTATGTTTATCCCAGGGTTTACCTATGAGGAAACTGAGGCACAAGTAGATTTATGAACTTCACCACATGATTAAAAAGTTGTCACTTCAGGATTTGAACTAGGCACTTTGGCTCTAGAGTTTATACTCTAGATCAAAACATAATAAATTTATTACAAATTTTGATACATAATTTTTAAACACAAAAAGTAAAATGTTTTTCTTTTTGCTGCGGAAGATTGGAACTGAGCTAACATCTGTACCCATCTTCCTCTATTTTATATGTGGGACGCCTGCCACAGCGTGGCTCAACAAGCAGTGCCCAGGTCTGTACCCAGGATCCGAGCCGGTGAGGTCCAGGCCACTGAAGTGGAGCATGTGAACTTGACTGCTAAGCCATGGGGCCAGCCCCCAAAACTAAAATTTTATTAGAAATATATCACTTAATGAGATGAAGAAAGAGGGGAGCTCATGTGTCTTTTTGAAGGTGGTTTGGCAAACATCAGTGTATCCATTGTCCCTGTCCCCTCGTTGATGGCCTAGGACATTGTTACACCTTGCAGAAATGCTTTGTAGTAAGACTCAGAGGGTGAGAGAATGCTTGTGTGTATGTGTGTGTGTGCATGGAAGTGAAAGGAAGATTATGAAAGGAAAGGTAAAAAAGGAGAACTAGTCTGACACTGAGACTTCAGGAATTTTCTATGATAGATCAGTTTTAGGATGGAGTTCAAATGAAGGCTAAGGATCTAGAAATTGACTTCTATAAAACAGGTTGTTTCTGCCTAACCCTTAGGGGGTGTGCGTGCCCCAGTTTGTAGATCACTGGTCCAAAGTGTTAGACATATTAAATGATGAATTCAATTCTACCAAAAATAAAAATGCATTGCATTTGAGAACCATTATGCTGAGCATTGTAGTCAGAAAAATGAGTAAGACTTAAATTGTAATTTAATGTAAAGCAAATGTGAAAAGGAACAAATGATAAGTAAATACATTTATGAAAGTTTATAGAAATCCTGAAGTGACCACTTTTTAATCACTTAGGAGAGTTTAGTGATTTGCCTCATATCCCAGAGCAGTGGGAGACGAGCTAAGACTAGGAGTTCCCTTTCCTGAGTCTCAGTTCTGTGTTTCTTTTATTGGGTTAAAATTAAAACACATATGGGTTGGCCTGGTGGCGCAGTGTTTATGTTCTCATGTTCCGCTTCAGCAGCCCGGGGCTCATTGGCTAGGACCTCGGGTGTGGACCTACCCTCTGCTTGTCAAGCCATGCTGGGGCAGGCATCCCATGTATAAAGTAGAGGAAGATGGGCACAGATGTTAGCTCAGGGCCAGTTTTGCTCAGCAAAAAATAGGAGGATTGGTGGCAGATGTTAGCTCTGGGCTAATCTTCCTCAAAAAAAAAAAAAAATCAAACCATGTATGAGTCAAAATAATATTTTTAAATAATATGATAGCAAACTGCAACTGATTCTCAGTTATATTTTTTAATCTCTCCAGGGACGATTTTTCAACTTCTTTCTTGGTGGAATTTAAATACATATCCACTTTAAACTGTACTTGTTAGAAACAAAATTTTAAAAATTACAGAAGGGGCAGTGAACTTCTCACAAAAAAATCTTACCATACTCCTGTGAGACCAACCTAATGCAGGGAAAGCAATTTAAATTTGGACCTTTCATTGACAAGCCACTTCCAATTTATCTCCTTCAAACTGTCCAATATATGTCAGGATTTATAAGTTGAAAGACACTTAGAAAAAATATTGTGTAATCCTCTTAATTTCCACGTGAAGATGACTGGCACACACAGATAGTGGAGGCCAAAATCAATTTTTGCTTAGTAGGTGAATTTTCTTCCACTTAATACTCTTTCTTATATGTCTTCATTAAGCAAAATTGAGGCCTTATAAAAATTGATCTGGCACCACTTCACATAAAACAGTTCAGGAAGAAAAATCCAGCTGTCAGGTATAAGTAGGCATTTTGACCATTGTACTAAGGAACAGTGAGTCATATGAAATGTAATGTGCAAAGGAAGCTGACACATAAAAGGAGAGAAAAACAATGATGGCTTCCCAAAGACATGCTGTGGGACAAAGAATAATTATAGAGGGTCTATTTTTGGGTCTGGCAGAATGACTTGGGAATTTAAAAATCACAGCTTAAGTACAGGAGATGAAATTATGTCACTCAGCTTTGAATTAAAGATAAAATAATTTAGTAGGCTTTATTTTTCTTTAATGCTGTTATAGTTGATTAAGATGATCCATGATTGAATTGTTAAATACTTTGCAGTCTAAAAATAAATTAGGACAGGAAAGTTACTTTAGTTTTGTTGAGAAGGGGGCTGTGAGGTGTGATAACAATTGCGTAATTAACATCTTATCTGACATGGTACTATAATGTCAAATATAAATAAGAGGGCGAATCCATCTCTAACAGTCATCTTTTTTGGACGCACCAATACCCCTAAAGCTTGTAATTAACGCCCAGGATTAAGATTGAAACTGCTTTGCCAGAAGTTTTAAAAATAGTATCTAGAGTGATTTTAACTTTTAAAACAGCTTGCTCCCTATTTTTCTGTTCCCTTCTTTATAAATAAGATATCCTCTCACGTTCCAACTATGGGGAAGTTTTACATCCATTTTTAGGAACATATCAGTCACTATTTAAATCAGAAAACAAAGAAGTCTACTGAAGAAAGGAATTTAGTTCAAATGAACAACATAGTGCTATTATTTTATAACATTAAACATAATTTGTTTTCTATATATGTGTGTATACATATATATATATATCTAGTTATAACAATAGTTATAATATTTGCCACAGACATTATATGTGTGTGTGTGTGATGTTTTTGTGTTGGTGGCTAATGTTATTAAATTACTAATATTACTAAATCTGATAGAACCCATTCCAATTATTTAACATTCCTAGTCCTCTAGCCAAGGGAACAGAAACATGGGGGCTAAATCCACACTCAAACGTCCTAAGGAAATGACTTTGTAATTTTGACAGATGTCTATTAGTCCCTCTTTATCAGTATTTTGTCAGATTATCTTTCAAAATTCCCTTTATTCAGAAGTCATTTGAAGTTAAACTGTATATTATTCTGTGAAATCTTTCTTATTATCATTAACATTTTCATATTATCCTTGACTTCTTTGGAAATCCAACACATTGCTTTCATTAGGTCATGAATGGTCTTTTGGAATGTATGCAATACCTGAAAGTAGGGCCATCCAAGGTTTTGACAGGTGGCAACACAAGTGGTTGGTGCATCATCGTAGGACCCTGGATGACAAGAGAACATTCCTGTGAATTTGGCAATATTATTAGTGGATAGTGGGCTTTTATAGAACTTAACTTAAAATTATACACTAGCGTGTTTCTTTGTTAAAATCATGAACATATGTATTTTAAATGCTGCATTTGAGAGGGAAGTTGGAAGAAGATGTATCAGGCACAATTAGATTGCCACCATGCTAACCTGGAAGTGATCAAGAACTTTGTTCCTGCCGTCTTATTTCTTAAGCATGAGGATTTTAAGGGATACAAACATGGAGGATGGTACCTGTTGTTCAAGATCTTAGCGCTAGGAAGAGGTGGACGCTCTGAAATGTTCAGCAGAAAGGTTGCTCCTGGTAGATAGGATGACTTGGCCAATGGTTCTGAGGAGGGAATAATGTGGCTGGTTTAAAGTACAGAAAGAGAGTCAACATAATAAAGGTCGAGTGAATGAGGGGAAAAAGTGATGTAGAACTTGCCAAGAGGGAGCCAGAGGCTAGACCATGTCAGCAATGAAATTTAACTCTCTTTAAACACAGGGCGTTACTAACTAGTGAGATTTGTCCACTGCTAAACAGACTTAATGTCTACAAACGTGCTTTACATGTATCTTCTCAGAATCAAACTAATGTTGAAAGCAAGATACAGCCATAATCTAGCACATTTCCCTTTGCATTTACACAGTATATGGACTTGTAGAACTTCAAAAATGTCAAATTTGCATTTGCAAACTATTTATCTTCATTAGCTTTTCTTGTGATTTGAGAGGCTTTTATTGAACTTATCCTTATGGATTATCAATTTGCTGCTACTTCTAAGAATAACATCTGAATTATTACCAAGGATTTCTATGAAAGCAATAGGGATCTTATGTGAAAACTCAAAAGTATTAAGAACGCCTACGTTAAAAGCAATCTTTGCAACCAAATCTTTTGTGAATCAAAAAACGTTTTAATTATTTTGTAAAATTGCTTTTTAAAATTTTACCTCTTCGTATATTTTAATCATTTATTATATGTTATCATAAATTGTCTAGTATATGTTGCTGTTAAGATTGGAGTCTGGTCACATTAAACAGAGGTGTATTTTTACATCAATAGAGACTCTGCATTTATTTAGAATCTGGATTTCGTACAAGCTATTTTGGAAAAAATAACTTGTCAGTCTCAGGCTTTACCAGCATACATATGGAATTCAGAAGGTTCAAAGTTGAAGTTTATTTTGAATATTTTCCCAACTTGCTAGAAAATACCACTAGAAATAGAAATGACCACAGAGTGTTATTTTTTCTGCATGGGTCTAGAAATTTCATTTTTCATCCCAGCTGAAATTGTATGGAAGAATCTTTCTACCCTTTTGGTGATTTGGAATAAGCAGAAAATAAATATATCAATGATTACTTCTGGCTACCAGAAAATTTACTGATGAGTTAATTTTGGTTAGTAAATGTGTTGCACATATTAATAATCTATATGTCAGTATGGTCTTACTTCCACTTTCCTCTGAAAAATATCAATATCTGTAGTACCAAAAAACAGATCACTATCCAAGAAAAGAGAATACAAATAAAATATTACAAAGCCTTAATAAAAACCATAGCGATACCTAGAAAAAACTCAAAAGAAAACCAATTTTGTTCAAGTAGCACCACCGGCTGAAGTGAGTACACAATGAAGTCAAAATTAACTAAACCTTAAAAACACAGAAAAGAGATACAGCAAATAAGAATAATAGAGAAAACTTCTTGATATAGTGTTGCCATAGTGAAGCACAACAATTAAGCCAAAAGAATAAAAGGCAAATCTAAGCATATTTATTAAGAGGAAATCAGAACCCTGAAGAAATATATTGGTTAAATTCAGCTGATGGATCTAAGGGCAATCAAGTGGTTTCCAAAATGAGGGATCCTGTGAAAGACACAAACTCCAATGCCTTCTGTGAGGTTTTTATATATCAGAAACAGTTTTATAACAGTAGAAAGAGAGATGCTACCTCTTTCAAGAGACTTGTAAGCTCCATAAATGATTTAAAATATTCAAAAAACTATAACAAGCACACATGTCATTATACACTTGTCCTAACTCATAAAATGCACAACGCCAAGAGTGAATCCTAATGTATTTTGGGTGATCATGATGTGTCAATGTAGGTTCATCGGTTGTAACAAATGTCCCACTCTAGTCAGGGATGTTGATAGTGGGGGAGGCTGTGCATGTGCGGAGAGAGCAGGTATATGGGAAATCTTTGTACCTTCCACTGAATTTTGCTGTGAACCTAAACCTGCTCTAAAAATAAAATCTGTTCAAAAAAAAAAAAGCACACAGACATCTGAATGGAATTATTTGTTTTCTTCCTCTCTATTTTAAAGGGGACGTGTATCTGATGGAGTTTTTAGATAAAGGGAAATGGAAAGTTAGGGATATGATTCGAGGCATTGTCAATCTGTGTTCTTATTCATTATAAGAAATGCTATTCATAGAGTCCCAGTTTTAAAAGCAATAAAACAATCTTTCCTGGACTACCTAATCAAAAATAGATGGTTAGTCCTTTTCTTAAATAATTATAAACAAAAGTGGCTTAACTGTAATTCCTCAACATCAAGCCACTGCTACCCAATTAGAAGCAAATGTTTCAGAGGAAAATTTTAATTCATTTTACATACAAATTTGCTGTGAGTCATAATTAGGGCAATGCAAATTAAAACCACAATGAAACACTATGTTACACCCACTAGACCGGGAAAAATTAAAAAGTTTGACAATACTACAAAGTATTGGATGTGATGTAATGGAAACCTCGGACGTTGTTGGTTGGTGGGGGGAGTATAAATTGGTACAGGCACTTTGATTGCTAGGATCCTGAAATCTCACTTGTAAATATATTCCCTAAAGAAACTCAGACACGTGTGTACCAGGAGATATGTAAAAAAAAAAAAAAAAAAATTCGTTCATTTCTTCATTGTTTGTAATAGCAAAATGGTGGAAGCAATCCAGATGTCCCTCAGCAGGAGAAAGTATAAATACATTGTGATCCATTCTTGTTATGGAATACTGCAACAGTGAAAAGAAAAAACCACAGCTACACGTTAACACTGATGCTTCTCCAAAACATAGCCCTGAACGAAAGAAGTAAGTCTCTGAAGACTATATTCAGAACGATTCCACTTCCGTAAAAGCAAAAATTAAAACAACAAAACTAAATAATATATTGCTTAGAAATTCATATATATGTGATAAAAAAGTAAAGCAAGAGAATGACTGGTACAAATTTAGTTTAATGGCTTACTTTTGGGGACATGTATGTGACTTAATCAGGGAGGAACATGATGGACAAAATGGCTTCTAGATATACAGGTATTTATTTATATGCATGAGATTTTAAAAATTATAAAAAGTTTTTGTAGAACAGTATGCAGAGTATGATTCCTTTGAAATCATGGATTCGTTGTGAATCTATGGATCAAAATACATAAAAATGCAATGTGCTTCAAATAGGTCAGAGGGGTTGGGTGGGAAATGCAGCTGCCTCACACAGTACTGATCCAATTTGAAAGTTCACTTCCTTTTCTTAGAATATTGTTAAGATTAGACCTCTTTTAAGATTTTACAGTTAAATCATAGTCATATACACAATTTAAACACTTTGAACTTTACAAATATGATTTAGGTGTGTGAATTCTATTTGACTTTAGTTTACTTTCCTAGTTAAATGGAGGAAGTTTTGGAACACCAATGATGAACAACCCATGAATCAATGTATATGTGTGTCTGTGCGTGTGTGTGTGTGCACTTACCCCTGGGTCCAATGAAAGAGAAAAAGGTCAGTAAAGTTGTATGTATTTTGGATTATTATCAAATTCCTAAGACTTTTAAGTTAGGATGATTCAGACAGGGAAAATCTGTCCCCCGAATCAGAAAACTAATAATTCTCAAAGCCAGAATCAGAAGGGAAAGTAATAATCTCTTGTTATTTATGTGTAGTTCACTGTGAATTTATACTTACTGCTTCATTATTTAGAAAGAGAATGACTTGATTTAAACATGTGCCTTGTTCACTCTTTTGTTATTGTAAATTTGAACCTTATGGTGTTGTTATGTCTTATGCTCACAATGTCCAGACTTCGGGAAAGAGAAAGCTGCTTTGAGGGCACACAGGGATCATTTAAACATCACCTCCCTCTGTGTGCTGAGCCACCCCAGACTGATTCCAGGAGGTCTGGAATGAGAAGAAGGACTTGCATTTTACCAAACAGCTTTGCTGCTTTAAATGTGGTGTGATTGATTAAAGTAGCCCAATTTCTGGGCTACCTTTTGAGAAATTGTCCTAGACAAAGACCTGTCAGTAGGTCAGATTCTACGAACCCTCCAGTCAAAGGGAGAGTCATTACCTTGAGCAATTGGGTCCAAGTGTTAGAAGATGATTACCACCCAGGAGGTAGTGTTTGCTTCTCACAACTTCTTCATAAACAATCTTCACCTCTTATCAGAAGAAATAACCCCTAGGCTTAACACTCACCTCCATTCCCCAAACAAAAGAGCAGACAAAGTTTTCCTATCAGAAATGTTAGACCAAGCAGCTGGAAGGCATTTGCATATCAACTTTGTGTGCATGGCCATGTATCCAAACTGTCTCCACATCTTAATTGATGCAGTTCAGTGCTGGATTTTTATTTCCTAACCTTTCTGGTGAATAAAATATGTCTTATTGAACCAATTTATCTTTATCTTTTTATAGCCTTTCCTTTTATCTTCTTTCTCATTTCCTTTTTGTTCTGTTCACTCCCCTTTTCTTTCTCTGGTTTCTTTTACTTCCAAATGCCATTCTTCACTCTGGTTTTATATCAGTCTTTTACTCAGTAAGCAATAATTACTAAGATAAATACATTGTTACAGTCATATAGCTTTATTCTCTAGGTGAGAATTCTGAATCTTCTCTGTTCTCTGTTCTCCTGATTGGTCCTTAACTCCGTAATTGTTCCTTTCATTTCTAGTTTCATCAACTTCTGA